TACTGCTGTGGCTACTACTGCTGCTGCTGCTGCTGCTGCTGCTACTGCTGCTGCTGCTGCTGCTGCTGCTGCTGCTACTGCTGCTGCTGCTGCTGCTGCTGCTGCTGCTGCTGCTGCTGCTGCTACCACCGCTGCTGCTGCTACCGCTGCTGCTGCTGCTACCACATACCAAAATGGAATGTTACTAATTTCACGTGTACAGGACTGCTAGGTGAATCGGCATTGAAACGCACCACGTTCTGTGCTATCTGATCCAACTCCTTACGTATGGAGGTAACGTTCCTATTCATCTGAGCTCTGTACGTCGGCGGAGCGTTCCTACACTCGTCCTCCATCTCGCGTACCTAAACAGCGACGGTAAACACGATAGACTTAATACTAAAATAAAGTCACATCACAATCCCTCGCCTAGCACGACAGATATGTAACACAAACTGTTGCTGTGCTATCCATGACCTTAAAGAGTATTATATAAGTATAGAGTGTTTATAGAGTATTATATGACATAGTTTTTAATATAAAGTGATTAGTGACGAGCGGTTTAGTCATTTAATCGATCATGTAGGTAGAAGCGCTCGGGTGGGGGGGGGAGGCATCTAGTCGTGATTATGCATCGTGCTGATGTCACGTACCGTTGCCTGGCCATCTTCAATGTCTCGCTCCACCTCCCTCAGCAATCCTCTGTTTTCCTCTGCAATTACAAGGAGATCACGCTGACGGATCGGTTCATGGATATAATCGCTGACCACAATTCATTTTCGCAATGTGCGACATGTGGCATGATGTGCAAATGTGGTCAGCTCTTATATCCTTGAGCTGACACATCTACTCATCCATTGGTCTGCATGTGAAAATCAGTGAGTATTCTACTGCAGATTTATTGAGTCGTGTAGTAAGTAGTATTGGGCCAAATGTAGCCACAAGTTTCCTTCTTGCTTAACACTACGTTGGCGAGAGGTCCTACGACGTGTAACAGTCGGAGAGCCTGGTCGGTTTAGGCCAAATGCTACATTGGAACCCTAATACGTACGCTATTCCTAACCTCATTCCCAAATTTCTAATCATTAAAATTTGGTGCGCTATTTGAACAGTCTTCCCCATAATACACATTTACACTGTACACACAGTATATTAAATTTGTTGAAGTTTGGAAAGTCGTATAAATTATCGGTTACCCGGAATGTTTCACCGAGATGTGTGTCATATGATTTATGAATGATGACGGGCTATTCTACACACACAGTACAGTAAGTTGGGAAACTGTCGCTGGAGTGACTCAATAAACCTTACCAGTAGCCGAACTCCGTTCAACGCGTGCAAGTTTTGTCCTAACATCTTGACACAGAGTTCTAAAGTCTTCTTCTAGTGTCTCGAATTTTTCAGAAGTCATTTTTGGATTATATTTATGGCATCAACATAGTTTGTGTACGGAACCAGTTCACCTGTATCTCTCTCTGCCCTGCTCAGGCTGCTCTACGGGCCGATGGTGGCGCCATCGCACTGATGATTCAGAGAAATAATATAGATACGCTATAATTATATTATCTCTATTATTATAAAGTTATTATTGGTTATTTCCAGTGGCGTAGCCAGCAATTGGAAACAGGGGGGGCCAAGGCGAGGGAGCGAAGCGACCGAGGGGGTA